AGTGAATTTTTAAAATAATTAGTGAAAAGTACCTTGACACTAGTTACATCCACTTTGATGATCAATACTATATATGAAAATTCCTTAAATACTGGATGTTATTTGCATTCTATACAAGTATAAATATATATATATATATATATATATATATATATATATATATATATATATATATATATATATATATATATATATATATATATTTATATACATACATACAATCCTACTAACTCATACACAAACATCCCTCATGGTTATTTGTCAAGATATGATGCTCTGGCAGACTTGAACATCCTCAACTGGTCTATGTTAAATTTGTGTCAAAAGAGGTCTGCTTTCCTGCTGATTCTCAGACATTACTTTTACTATTGTGGTACTTTTGGTTCTTGCACAGGAGAATTTTGAATCATTATTAGATTCTGAGAACATATTTTTGATCAGATGTTTAGTATGATCTCCAACAGAGAAAGGCATGTTTTATTCAACTAGAAAACACCCAAACAATGCTTCACCATTGGTAGCTTGCAAATCTTAAATTAATTGCTTAAGGTATTCCAGAGATGAAATCTGCTGGGTGCTTAATTTTCAAAATAGCTATATACTTTTTGCCAGCATTGTGCTTCTTCACAATGTCTCTGCCACCATATCCAGTGCTAAAATTTGAGACACACTGAATGCAAAAAACATGTTTTATGTTAATCTTTGATGGTTGAATGCAAGGCCAATTTTTTGGTGTATTCCAAACTAAATTTTACTTTTTGGGGAAAACATTTCTTTTTCCTTGGCTGTGAAGACAATTTAACTGTAGCTTAATTATGCAACTGAATTAATCCAGAAGATGTATCATCATTAATTCAGAAGATGCTATTACATAGAAATAATGAAAATGATTGTGTAATCAAAAACCAGTTGAAATAAAGAACAAACATTCCAAACATAATATAGATTTAGTCTCAAGATCTTAATAAAATTGCAAGGTGAAGAGATAACACAGTTTATAATCAGACCCAGTTGAACAAATTTGTTAAATTTATCCAGATCTAATACTGTAAAATGTCCAAATTGCTGGAACAAAACTTCAAACATGTGTGCCTTAATGTGAATGGTTGAAGCAAATATCCATAAAGTATAATCATCAAAGCATCTCATAATTTCTTATACCAGTCTATTCTGAAAGTAGCCAACATTGTTTGCTGTTAACATGGCCTATTTCTTTTAAAATGCTAAACCCGCTTCCAATTGCAAATCATGTGTCTTCTAAAAACTGACCTATACATTCAGTCATCCACCTAATTTCAACCTTGGTTTCAGGATCAAAATTTCATATGAGTATTTCTAACAGTACTTGCGCATATATAATAATCTCATTTTAATCAAATTCATTGAATAAAACTGTCTTTATTGATTGTTTGTTTGAAGAATTCAGTTGATTTGTAAATGCACCATTTTAAAAGAAAAATCTAATTGGGCCCTAGTTTTCTTCATAAGTATTTGTAAAACTTCTTTTATAAAAATAGATTCAAATATGTTAAAAGGTACCAACTGGATATAATTCTACTAATATAAGGACTAGCAGTATGAGATTTTTATTGGCACCATTACTGATATCACGAATAGCACTTTGTGGCATGAAGGTTATTTTTTTCCTGATTTAGGCCAATTGAGAATTCAGGAACTTGTTATGTGTTTGCATGCTGCGTGATTCCATGAATTGCTGTAAAGTTGTGAAATTCACTTCAAATCATGACAGATGGCAACTCTGAAAATATAGCCATATACCTAGGAATTTGAAATTATTGTGTGTGAAAATGATTTCTTTACATTATTTCTACTTGTTTTCCAAATTTTTGGGCGAATTTTCTCAATCTACGAATATGTTTCTATTTAACCACATTTTTAACATGCTATCATTGAATGCATGTTGTCATTTATGGTACAGAGTGACAGTCTGCCTATTTTTGTTTTCACCATTAGTAACAGCTGTTGTATCAGCAGTTTCTTAACTTGCTCAATTGTTAATTTATGCCTTTATTTCTCATCTTGTATTGTTTAAGTATAACTTGTCAGTCATGTACATAAAATGCAAGAGGTTTAAGGCGAGGGAAGATACAAGTCCTGGTAAATATGTACTTCATCACTTTCTTGCAGCATGTGTGCTACTTGGTCAGAAATCTGGACTGCAGTTTTATAGAAGGCAGATTAAGGAAAAGAAATAAATCTTGCAAAGATAATGTTGATATTTTAAACATGCATTCAGAGTCAACGTCTCTTGTGACCCTTTTGGGGGATTCTGCTGGGTCTGCTCTCCAATCAAAAGTCCAATGATTACAACCAGCAACAGCTATAGTTACTTAATTGAAAATGGGGGGATAAAACATTTATATTTTGCAATCTTCTATCTTTTAATTTGATGACACAATTATTAAATTAAAGCCATATGCTACTCTTTTACCATTTCTTGCTTCTACGGATTTTTCTAACTCATTGGTGGAGTGTCCTCCCACCAAAAAAATATACTTGGTAGCCCATTGAGTGTTAAGTCCCACTGTATGTCTGGGAATGATCTTCTTGCATGTAAGACTGGGCACATGGGGCTTTACTGGAACTATTTAATCCATCTTTTAATATGATTTTACCATCATGAGCTGTCCTGGCTATTCATCTCAACCCATCTGTCTCATTTTGATGACTTTATTAATGGATCCATCGGGCTATGTCTGCACACAATTATGGGATCTTAATGACAGATTTATCCGTCTTGCTGTGCCTTTGGGTATATACTCATATTAGTGACAAATCTGTGCAGTAAGCCCCTTTAAGTATGGCCACATTACTAAAATACAAGAAAGCTGCCAACCATAATTTGACCAACTTTGACAGAAAAAATCCTTCTGTACCAAGAGATTTAAATTTTGAACAAATGAAGTTAATGTGCAATCAGAGGTTGTTGAAATACAAAAAAATACAGAAGTCTCAAAATAGTTGTTTTTCTAACATATTTGATCTAAAGCACTGGAATTTTTTTAATATAGAAAAGCATACAACTGTCTCTCTGCTTTCATTGCTAGATACTCTTGAATATTTATTATATATCAAACAGGAATATTGCAACAGATATTGAGTTGAACATTGGGAGTGATTTTTTTGTGTTCTTATTTATATGTCCACTGTAAGGTGGACCATATCATGTCACTTAGTCTGATTTCAATTTTGTTTCTGAACAATAACTCAAGTTCTCCACCACTTTGTAAATAGCTTGCATATGAGCAATGGAATAATCTTATTGATTTTGGAGTTACAAAGTTCAAAGGTGATGTTTAAGTAAAGATGAAGAAAAAATGGTTCTGTACAAAACAATTAGTTCTACATCATGGACCTGAACCAAAAGCTGTGGTTGGCTTTGCATTGGGGTAAGGAAGAAGCTTAATAATTTAGGGCTCCAAAGACTGCTGACTGAAAGAAGAATGATGGTTTCTTCACAGTAACATTAATTTTATGTCACATACATAGACCAGATATTGTGAATAACCTGCACTTGAAGCAAGGAAGAAGTTGATCAAAAAGTTGTTGTTGTTATTGTTGTTATAGGGTTTAACGCCATTTTTCATCACAAGATAGGCTGTACATGGCGGCCAGTATTAATGGTGGAGGAAGAACATTGGAAAATCCCAGTAAGAACCACAGACCCATGAGAAGCTACTGGCAGGCTTTCTCACTTACCCACGTTAGCTGAGTCTGGATTTCGAACTCAAGCAGACAGAGGTGAGATGGCAGTGATCTGTAACGGTCAGCGCTTTAGACCACTTGGCCACTCAGGGCTATGGGATCAAAAAGGGTTAAAAGTCAAGATCATTATGACTGATAGAAGACACTTGGTTCTACACAAAATGTTTGTTCTGCACCACAGAGCTGGACCAAACTTTGCGAATGGCTTGCACTTGGAGTAAGATGGAAACCTATTGATTTAAGGATGAAAAAGGAAAATTGGCTCCTGCTCAGAACATTCAGTTCTCAACCATGTACCTTCATCATAGCTTACCTTAAACAAAGTTTATGAAGGGCTTACACATGAGGAAAAGGCATTAATCTTGAGGTTGTAATGTCATAAGTCAAGAGTTATTCTAACTCAAAGAAAAATGAGTTTTATGGAGTAACTTTTAGTGAAGAGTAAATTCATTAACCAAACTTTATGGCTGATCTTTACTTTTAGTAAGTAAACAAATCTTAAAATTTACAGGTCAAAAATCAAGTTCTTAAATAAGAAAATAATGATTCATGCACAGTTGACCTGGTACCAGACATAAAAATACATGTTAACAAAATCTTTTTTGTATTCTTTTTCTTTTATTGTGTATTATAGACAAGACTTTTTGAGTTAGAAAAGACTAAGTTTGACCAGTTATTTGAAACTAATGGAAATAAATTATATCCAAGTTGTTGACAGAAAATGATAAGTCATAAAAATAAATTAAGGCAGGAAATATTTAACTCTAAATTTAGTTCTTATTTTATGTAAATTGATGTGGCTTTCAGAGAAATCTGATGTGTTGAATACATTTTTTTTGGCAATCTGTCAGTTTGTTTAATGACTAATTCATTTCAAAATCTGGACTTAAGACTTTTAGAAATGGTACTAACAGCTGCCTCGCTTGATACTCAACATTAAAAGAGTTTAGTGTTAAGACTGGTGGTGATATGACTGGAAAATTAAAGCTAAGTTAAAAATTCAGATGACACATACATATCTGATGTGTTGAAAAAATTATTTTTGGCAATCAGTCAGTTTGTTTAATGACTAATTCATTTTAAAATCTAAACATAAGACTTTTAAAAATGGTACTAACAGCTGCCTCACTTGATACTCATCATTAGGAGGTTAGTGTTAGGACAGGTAGCGATATGACTGGAAAATTAAAGCTAAGTTAAAAATTCAAATGACACACACATACAAAGACATGCAATGATTTAACATTAATTTCAGTAAAAACTTTATACCAATAGATTACATCAATGGCCTAGTGGTTAAAGTGACCACCTCATATGTGGGAGGTCGTGGGTTCAAACCCCAGTGGATTCTTACCAAAGACTAATAAAAATAATACTAACAGCTGCATCGATTGGCACTCAGCATTAAGAGGTTAGTGTTAGGACTGGTGGGACTGGTGTCAGGATAATGTGACTCCAGGGTGGAACATCATGCTACATGTCTATGGCATGATGCCCCAGTGCTAGACATCACTGAAAACTGCCACAATCCAGACATCATAACAATATGACTGAAAAATTGTTAAAGCTACATTAAAAATCCAAATCACAAACACACACCTTTTTTCAATAGAAGTTCTGCATGGTCTAAATACAGTTACTGGTCTAAATACAGTTACATTCTCAACTTTAATTAATTTTTTTGTTTTTGTTCTGACAGATGATCTGACAAAGGAGGTGGCTTTAGGAGAAGTATTTGATGTTGTTGGATTAACTAGAAAAGACTTTCAGGAGGAAAAAATTCTCATAACTTTAGAGGTATGCAACTTTGTTAAATAAGTATATAGCATACATGTGCTAGAAAAGATAGATTAGGTCAGAATATCTAAGGAAAATTCCAAAATTTGGTAAGGAGTTAACATCAAAAGGGGTAGGAGTTTCATTGGCCTAAATTTTAGTATGCAAATGGACATAATTTACAGCTATTTAACAAATTTACAATTTAAAATATTACAATATGCTTATCAGCTTTTCAAGTCCATAGGATGCAACAATATAACTTGGTATTAAACTGTGTCAGTTAGAACTACGGCTATATATTAAATATAATACAATAGCAGCATATATGCTTTGTACATCCAGTATATTTAGTTCAAGCCTAATACCATTGTGCAGTAAGTTAGCAGCATATATGCTTTGTACATCCAGTATATTTAGTTCAAGCCTAATACCATTGTGCAGTAAGTTCTGAGTAAACCATTGATATTTACTCTTTACAAAAATAAGTACAGTCAGTAAATATTTGAAAGGCTGGATCTTTCAATCAAACTGATCGGAAGTATTTCATGATTTTCCTTATTTGAGGCATTATTGTTATGCAAATATTATTATTATTATTTGTTAGTTTTTTTAAAAAAAAATCATTATTTGTTATGAATAATTATATTTTGGAATTAACCTTTACCAAAATCAAGTTCATTTTCTACCTGGTCTGACACTGGTTATGGTTTTCTAACAACATGTTTATCTCGATCTCAGCCAAGAACTTTTGAAATTCTCCATGAAATGTGATGTACTTGTTGTTTGCCACAGTTTATATTATAATTTTGGTGACAGACCTTATTTTTATAGCTAAAGATTTTATCTTGTAAACATTTGGAACCTTCCAGAATGAAATTTTCCATTAGGTAATAATTTGTTTTAGAAAATGTGACCTGAGATCAAGTAGAGGACTATATAATCTTGTTTATCTAGAAATTATTCATTCATGTTGTAAGATCTGAGCAGAATCAATTGTAATGTTATTGTGTCCAATATTTGGTTTATGTTATAATTTATTTATGTAAATTATTTAATTCAAGTAACTCTTCACTGGAAATACAAAGTGCTCATAAAAATAGTATTATTGGAAATAGACTTGGATTTAGAGTGAAATTCAAACAAGGAGATATTCTTGGATATTATTATTGTGATTCAACAAAAGACTTGGCACATCACTACAACTCAGGCAATCACAGGCACATCAAAACTTCCAGCATTGGATTTACTTTTATAATACCAGTAAAGTTTACACAGAACTTTAATCATTAGGTCTTGCGTTAGAACATATAGGATTATTTAGGATTTAATTCACAATACTGTGAGTTATTTTTATTTACATCTTCACTTTCTATTTTAGAGGAAAGAAATTATTTGTTGAATTTTGCAAAACTTGTTACTTTTCACTCTTTTCAGTTACTTTTTTGAAGACCATAAAGTTGTAACAGTTTATGTTAATGAGGTGATTTCTTTGCTTATAAAAAATAAAAACACATTGGACATAATTTATATCCGAAAAAAATCTTGTACTGATTTAAATCAGCATAATTATTCAGTGTGTTTTAAGCTGTGAAAAATTCTGCAACATGACCTTTAATAGATAAGCAATAATAGATATTAAACTGACTACCCAAATAATGTCCATCTGGCTGTTGACCAAAAACAAAAATAAAACATGGGGTAATTATTCTTTAGTCTCACAACAAAAATCAACTAGGATATAATTTTATAGAAGAAATATGCTTTATACCAGTGTATTCAAAAACTGAATTTGGAGTACTGCAATCACTGAAAGTAGGTATAATTTTTGAGAGCTCACATCAACATGCTCACTCTCTCCTTGACTTAATTCTGTAATTGATGTATTTAAAATTTAATATGTCAACATAAATGCTTTAGATTCAGTTGAATGTTCACACACACACACACACACACACACACACACACACACACAATAACATTTAGTTAAGCAGATGCTGATATGCAAGTATAATTTAAAGAATGCACCATGAATTTCTCAATAGAAATCCAGTAGGTTTGTGCAAATAACTTACTGTTAAATTCCATTTGCCTAGGGAGTTCTTCTGGAGCTCTAATCCTTACCTGTCATTATACCATAAAAGAAATATGACAAAAATGGGTCAGCAAACCTGAGAAACTGGCCAGGGGCTATTGAGTTGTAGGATTCCTTTTTCAGGTAGACAACACATTGAAAGAAAAATGCAAACACAAAAACTTAAGGAAATCACATAATTATTTAGTATGTAATATGTTACATTTTTATGATCAAACACATTATATCATCAATAAATAATTGATTAAACTCATTAAACTACAGTGTAAGCTAATCTTCATCTCTGTAGATTACTTTTGGAGAACTAATCAGAAAAAGTATGATTCTGCTCTTACTTCCAGTGATACTTCTTGTTTATTAAGATCTTCATTCAGGTAATGCTTAGCCAACAATTCACACTTGATTTCTGCCTTGAAAATGTCTGGAAAGTCATTCACTCAGCACACATACTTCTTACTCCTTTCTGTGTTTTGATGCAGTCAATAGAGGGAAGGAATGGTCATGCAGAGTCTTTATACCACTTGTTCAACACTATCTCTTCTCTTAGAAGATCCCAAGTGTGTTCCTAATACTTTTCAAACTTTTTTTCTTGACTCGTATTACTCCCTATCAGATATTAATTTGTTAAATATCCTACACATGAATATTCCTCAAGCATGAGATCTATAATTTTTTTCTGCCAAGTTCTTATCATAACTCCAGTTTAAATGTTCTTCTTGTTCTGTCCTTCTTGGCAAAGTGTTCTCTTAGTTATTTTCTTTTTTTGTTGGTTCTGCTTCCAAGACATCCTCGACCCCCATCTCCAAAGAGGTTCCACATTCCAAAGAGGGATACAAGTCTTCTATAGCTTCTAATAGTCTAGAATCACTTCTCTCAAACTGTTGATTTCCAGTGTATTTTCAAATTTGGCATAGAAGATGATGTTAACTATGTTGGGTAGAGCTATAGTAAACTTAAATTCCACACAAAGTTGGCAAAATTGTATAGGGTGGACATGTCCCTCATTGATGCCTTGGTCTGGAGTGAAATCAAAACTCCACAAATCATAACCTCCTGCATAATCATTGTATGAAATGCCATGGCTACTGTTGGTTTCTAACTTTCTAGTGGCTTCATACAGTAATAAGTAAGATCTCAAGTAAGTCTTGCCATCTCAACTGCCTTTGATTTTGGTCACTTTGAAATGCTCAAACTTGAAAGGATTTACATTGTTGGCTCCATTGAATGCTGCATTGCTAATGATACTGTTGATTAAACATTTGGTCAACTGTCCTTGGAACAGATGATCTGCAATCTTGGATTGGAGTCCAGTGGCAATAGTGAAAGTTTTCACTTCCACTTGTATCGGATACTTGGCAGTAATCCTGTTCAAAGAGTGACTGATGTCATTTCCCAATTTAGGTAATTCTTCCACATGATGTATGTAAAGTTTAGTTTCTTGGATGATGGTTTTGTACTTGTTTGTATGAGCCATGAAATGAAAAATGGTACTGCTTCGATTCAGTCTGAGGCAGACATCCACTACATTCAGGAAGTATTTGTCTTGCAACCACATATCGAAATGCAAATGATCCATCAGTTCTAATCTGTGTCCTTGTAGGAATCTACTTTGATGGTTGTTAAATCCAACATTGTGTGGATTGTTAGCTTTTGTCACAGCTGTGTCATTGAACATGTTCTTGTCTGCTAAGTCAGGTTTCCACACCATGTATACATCTAGATGAGTGCTCTTGGCTTCTTTGCAGTATATCAGGAGATTTTCTAGGTAACCTCAGTAAGGGTAAGTATCCAGGCTGCTGCTAACCAGTTTGTTATTCAAACATAAATCCTCTTTGCTGAAAAAGTTATGCATGAAATTGTTGATGGGACCTACTCTGGCATCAGCTTCTAGAGTGGTGTCATACATTTTGAGAACATTGACTTTCAGGTACAAGTAATTTCTATTCAGATCCATTTAATCTTCGGTCTGTCCTTTGATTTCAAAATTCAAAAAGGCAGAGGTCATCGAAGATTCTTGCATTGTCATCATGGTTAGTGGCATGGCAAAAAAATCCAGTTCTGACTTTCACAAGACTCTCAGTGCATCATATTTTTTCTCTCTCTGTTTAATAATAAAAGATGTCTAAATTCTCTGACAGTTCTCCTTTTCTTAGTCTTTTTTGCAATGTGTTTGTGATCTCCTCTAAAAGGGTGCTGTCATCATCTTTTTCTGCCTTGTCCTTTCTGTAGCGTGAAGGAAAAAGAAATGCCTTGCTCAGCAGTGTGCATTTATAGGAGTTTCTTGGTGAGCCAAAATGTCTTTTCTACTTTGAAGCAACACAGTTTTGTCTGAGGTAGGCTTTTTTGGGGTTTTGTTTGTCGATTATGTTATTTTGAAAAATTTCTTTACTTGCATCAAAGCAGCATCTTTCAATGTGTGTAATCCTTGTGTCACCATTAGTTTCAAGACAGGAGCCACTGAACAAAAGGCAGATTTCAGC